GTTCATGAGAGGAAGAATTTAACTTTAATCAGTCCTAAGGATATCGCTGAACTCAGGATTGCCCCTACCTTTTTATTTTAAAATTCTTTCTTAAAGGTATTTATGGCCAGTCAAATAGAAAAGCCCAGTAACTTGATCTACCTTACAGAATGTGCTTTTCACATGGGATTACTTTGGCATTTTTAATGGGTTTTCTTATATTTAGCCATTAAATGCTGTCAGACAGAGAAGAGAAATATCATAGTGGCTGTATTTTCTAGGTGTGTGTAAGTATTCTGTGATGTTCCCACAACGAGGAATTCACCTAATCACACACCTCTCAGAATGTATACCCTTGGTAAGCGATGCATGATTATGCCTGAGTTAAGAGGAAGCACCTATAAAACAAGCTATTGAAGATGACTAGGAACAAAAATCAGTTAAATGCACAGACAGTTTTAATGTTTTCTATGTATCTAACATTAAAATCAAAGAAGAAAGACTGAAAAAAATAAAGGCCACTCTCAGAAGATTAGGAATTAAGTAGGATTAAAGGATGTTTGCTGAGTTTCAGGGATTTGTTCTTAGAACTACTGGAACTTGGAGCAAAAGTGATACCGGTAAGTTATGTTAGCTAAAACAAGAGTAGTAGATAAGTCCACAGGGTTTGGCCCTGTTAAAAAGTACTGGTTTAATGATGTTAAGAAAAAAGCCCACAATGCTTGATAAGAAGTGCACTTATTATCTTGCCCATGTAATTGCAACCCCTCTGTACAGTATTTTCACAATAAAAAAATAAAAGAAAAAAAGAAAAAAGCCCAAAATATTCCACTCCTTCTCCTATAAGAGAAATTACTTAGAATTCCTCATATACAGTATTCTTTATATACTTATTTTTAAAAAGTACCAGCTATATTCATTTTAAAATACACTAAAGTTTTATGTCTAGTGTGCATCAGGTCTACGGCATTTAGTCAAGTTTTACTATTTCATGTAATTCCTAACAATTATTGCAGCTTTGCTTTTGAGACTATTTTTAAAATCCATAACTAAGAAAGCAGTCCAGAGTCAGAACCCCATTCAGTATGATGAAAATGATGCTTCCTTCAGAAATCAGTGAAGCAGGAAGTGAAAGCATTCATGCCTGAGTCTGTTTCATTCCTGGAGGAAAGTTGTGGCACAAAAGCCTTCCAGAGGACTTTAACAACTCGAACAGGTCTGGGAGACAAGTACAGAATGATGACTGCGAAAACCAGTGGGAGGCAGTGTTTAACAGTGGGATTAAACAGATGTGCCCTTAGCTGTGAGTTTCTGGGCTTGCTCAGAAGGCTCCTCTGGATTCTTTAATGGCGTGTAGTTACCACCTGGAAATGTCATAATTTTTTTTTTTTTTGGTCTGGTTGTGGGGTCTGAACTCTGGGCCTGGGCGCTGTCCCTCAGCTCTTCAGCTCAAGGCTAGCGCTCTACCACTTGAGCCACAGCGCCACTTCCGGCTTTTTTCTTTTTGCTTATGTGGTGCTGAGGAATCGAACCCAGGGCCTCAGGCATGCAAGGCAAGTACTCTACCACTGAGCCACCTTCCCAGCCCCTGTCATAATTTTTTTTAGCAAGGGATCCCTGTCTTTTCGCATCCGATACCATTAATTAACTGTCAGTCTACAGGTCCTAGGCAGGTCCATCATTGTACTTGTTTTCTCAAACGTGAAGTTAATCTTCCAAGTTTATCTTCCATTCTGAGTACCAAGGAAAGAAACCGAATTAGCTGTATTTTACAGTCTACATATTTCTACATTTTTTTTTTTTGGTTGGTCGTGGGGCTTGAACTCTGGGTCTGGGCGCTTTGCTTGCGCTCTTCAGCTCAAGGCAAGCGCTCTACCACTTGAGCCACAGCACCACTTCTGGGTTTTTCTCTAGTGGTTTATTGGAGATCAGTCTCACAGAATTTCCTGGCTGAGCTGGCTTTGAACCGCGATCCTCAGATCTCAGCCTCCTGAGTAGCTAGGATTACAGGCGTGAGCCACCGGTGCCCGCTATTTCTACATTTCTTATAGAATATTTTAGTAATCTCTGTTCTTTTATCTCCAGACCAAACAATATAATTATTGACTTTTTCCTATTTGGGCTATGTAAATCAATATTTACTCTATTAGAAATTAAAAATGAGATAGCATTACAAGAACACACAAGCAGCCGGGTGCCAGTGGCCCACAAAACAAAAGAACATGTATGCATACATTCTGCCGGTCCTGTGTATAATGATTTCATCACATGCCAAATAGCTCTGGAAAACTCTACACTCCTGAGAGTAGACATCTTATTATGTAAACAGTCTGACTTTCTGGATCTCTGAAAGAGCTTGGGAGATGCTACTTTTTCCCTTTGGGGTCCTCAGATTGCACTTTGATTTTCACTGAAACTAGCCTAGTTAGACAGGAAACCTATTCATTCTTTGAGCAAAGGAGATGATTTGTATGAAAGTGCACTTTCATTGTTTTAGCAAAACAAAAACAAAACAACAAAAAAACCCTCAGGGACAGAGCATAGGCCCTGGGTTCAAGCCCCAGGATGGCACACACACAAGGTATTTTTGTTGGTTTTATGTTTATGCACATATATTTTTATTGCCTTACATCAGTTATATGGGGCACAGGGGTGGTGGATCTCACTGTTACATCTCCACACTTGTTAAAGCTGTATTCTAATCAGGTTCACCCTCTCTATCACATTGCCTGCACTCTTCTAAGAAACAGTGCCTCCAACAGGTTTTCTTGTTCCATCTTCATAGCTGCAAATAGTCTATTTTGCACAGAACAAATTATACAGGAAAAATAACTGACAGAAAGGCATGCTTTCTGGGAACAATTCCTATAGGGTGTATATTCTTATGTGTAAAACATACTTTAAAGCATGCTATCCATTCACACAAGCACGTATCCTGCATCCTCTCTGTCCTAGGTACTGGGCTTTACCCTCTGGAGACTGAGAAGAATGTGACCTTTTCTAGCCTTCCCAGTGTGGGACAATGATAAGCAGGAAGGACATTCATCTGATGTGTCTGTTAATGTGCTGCTAAGGATGTATTTGCTAATGATTGTAATTAGCATATGTGGGAAGAGTCGCAAAAAGGTGATTTTTGCACTGTGGCAAATGAAAGGCTATTCAGAGGGAATCGAATTTTCAGGGCAAGATGGTCTGCAGGTAGTGTTTTAGTGGAGGATTGGGTTAGTAGCTGGAAAAAGAAAGCAGACTGTCAAAGGTTTAGTAAAGAATATTTAGAGAATGGATACTAGCCACAAGGTTTGATGGCCAGTCAGATGTGAAGGTAATGGAAACTGGAAAAAGGCTGCTGTGTTTCTGTTTGAGCTGCTAAGTGGATGGAGTAACAGAGGAGAGGAGGAGTGTGGTGGTAGGCGAGTGGAATTGGAGACCTCTGTAGACCCTAAGAAGGGATATGTAGTGGTACCAAAACCAGAACAAGCTGGAAAGGTAACTGGTCTGTTTTAACACATTTACATTTGCTCTTGAATAATGTAAATATGGAATCAGTGTCTCCCCCACTGAAAAATAATTTCAATCGTGGCTTTTATCAGCCCATTTATATGACATTAGCATACTCACAGGTTTAGCATTTATTTATGTTTGATTAATCTTGGAAAAAACACATTTGCTTGTGAACCAAATAGTAACATCCATGTCTTAACTGCTGTTAGTTCTCTCCATCTTTCACTAACAAAAACTTAAGATGAGGTACAAATTCTAATTTCAGGACAAAGTTCCATCTTAACAGAAACTAGTCAGAGATGAGACAGCAACACTAGAATGTATCCTGAATTGGTAAGAACTAGTAAACCCTGGAGGCATTTGAAAGGCTAATGCAGATTAGCCAGGAACAACCAAGAAACAACCTGATACTTATGCCAATGTGCTAGAAAATTTCATAGACTGATAGCAACTGCTTAATGTAAACACTGTTGTTACATTTCTAAGGATTGTTCTTAGTGTATTATCTAATCAAAGCTTCAACCACAATGCTTTCCTAATTATCCATTTTACTATTAGGCCAACATTTTGAAATATTAACTATTTCCTAGGATAGACCACCAAAGTCTTTGGAAGCAGCCAGCAATATGGTTGAGTAAATGAAAGTTCAAGCAGAAGGATACTATGCACTGAGATAAAGGTTCTGACCTAGGGCACTTCATGATACAGCACTACCTCAAAGTCTTAAGCTTTCCTTTCTATTTTATCAATATCTTATGCTAGTAAAAGAATTGGTAATTTGATTAACTATAAAGGAGTCACTGACCCAAGGGGCTACTTTAGACCAAAAACAGAAATGGTGATGGCTTGAGATCTAAGCTAACCCGGGCAGAAAAATTAATGAGGCTCCATCTTCAATTAACCAGCAAAATGAACTCAAATGGTAAAGTGAGTTTTGAGTGAAAAAGCTAAGCAAGAATACGAGGCCTGGGTCTGGGACTGTGGCTTAGCAGTAGAGTGCTTGCCTAGCACACATGAAGCCCTGGGTTTCATCCCTCAGCACCACATAAACAGAAAAGGCCAGAAGTGGTGCTGTGGCTCAAGTGGTAGAGTGCTAGCCTTGAGCAAAAGAAGTTCAGGGACAGTGCCTCAGGACTTGAGTGGGGGGTGAGAGGGAGGAAGAATGCGAGGCCCTCCCTAAGTGTTACCCGTTAGTACTGGCGCAGAAGAACTCCACAGTACCTAATGTAAAGAGTTAACCAAATTATTACATTATAAGTTAAACACATGCATAGCTATTTTGTAAGCTAAGACATAGTTCGTTCTTTTTTCCTAGAATACAAACTGTAGGAAAACCTGGAACTTTGGCATAGTTTGACCCTATTAAAATGTTAATGGAAGCACAAAACTTGGCATATGTACACATTAGAAATAACATGGAGTTGTCATAAGCTGAAAGAGAGGACGTCTTCCATTTTGTCTTCCATAGCTATTCAGTAAGAACAGTGTTTACATTTCATAATGAAGAAGTAAATACATACTCATCATGAACAATGGTGGGGCCATCCCGTGTTAAGGCCTCTTCCTTGATGACATTGATCAGTTCAAAGGTACTGCTTATGGGAGCATCTGGGTTAGGCCATTTGGGGCACTGAAAGTGTCGAACTTCTAGGACATAGTCATCCTGTAAGTAACGTAACAGGAGTCACATTGATTATCTGTCCTCTATTTCATAGGTCTAATCAAAGGACTAGAAAGTGTTCCTCAGATAGCATATATTGTAGAATTCTGAATAACGTCAGGTTAACACAAGTGCAGGTGTTGAGAAGAAAAATACATAGAATATGTATTTTGCCTGACATAGAATATGAGCAGGCTGTGTGAGATAAACAGTAGAAGCTCATTTTGTTCAGCCCCCAAATTCAACTGTAAAACAGTTGGGTATTGGTGGCTTATGTGTATAATCTCGCTATTTAGGAGGCTGATATCTGGAGCATTGAGGTTCAAGGCCAGTTCAGGAAGAAATATTTACTAGTCTCCATCTCCAGCAACAAAGCAAGTCTGGGAGCATGGCTCCAGTGGTAAAGGCAGCCTAGCAAGCTAAGGAAGAGGGCACTAAGCTATTATCACTTAAACCACTTACATAAGGCCTCTCTCACACTTCAGAAAAGAAGGTAGTCTACTCCCATTTCCTTCAAGGAGAGCAAGAAATATTTTTCCCTCTTTTTTTCTTTTTCCCTCCTTCTTCCTGTTATACTAGAAGCAAGTGATAATATACTAAATATTGGTTAGTTAAAAAAAAAAAAAAACCAAACTTACTATTATCTCTGCAACACATTTTGCAAGACTCACATTTCTGAAGGCAAAAACCCCCCAAAAACTGAGCTTTATTATATTGTTTTAAAAATTAGGTCAACAGACCTATTTGTATGCATGTCCAATCAGAGGAACTGTTACATTTCATTTAGCCAGCTGGAAAGGGCAAATATTTGAAGGAAGAAAAAAGGGAAAGGTGCATATTTTAAATTAGGTCTTACTCAAACACCTGGGCCTGTCTTGAGGGTGGCAAATTACTTCGTTATTACTTAAAAGGATCATCCAGGGCCTACATCTGGCTATTACAGGGGACCTGGGGTTTAGGTTACCTGTGTAGCTTCAAGGATAAAGTCATGGATGATAATTTGTTCTTCATTAGAGAGGCACAGTCTGTCTTTGCTGATAAGAGTGACAGTAAAGGCCTCACAGTTCATGGATTCTTCTCGGCTTGGCCAGTACACAAACTCATCTTCTGCCTTTGGGAATCAATGAGAAAAAAATTTTTTTTGCTGTACTACTCAACATTTATTTTTGAATTTTCTTGCAGAGTAAATCCTTGCCTTTTCCCACACCTCTCAAATCATCTTATAAGCTGAATTCACAGTACTGTATTTTCATCTAGTCTTGATGGTTATTGTACTTTTATCTCAAAATGCATCCTGATAATAACCATTTCCTAGCACCTCTCACCTATTACTGTAACAACTCAAAACACCCCCCCTCCATAGGGGATGTATTTTTCCCAGATGACAAGTGTTCTGAATCATAATTGGCACAGCAAGAACAGAGACTGGATCTAGGTCAATTAATTTTATTATTTCACAGTTGCTTAAGCAACTAAAACATGCTAATTGTTATTTCCTATGGGTAATATCAGTAACAAATACACACGTGAATAGCTTTTTAAACAGCTTCATAAACATTATCTGTTAATTTTTACATTATTAAGATAAAGGGCATTTTACAGAAAAATTTTATGTATAAAGTACAAAGCACGTTACATAATGCAGAGATAATAAGGTTATTTTAGCCAAGCAAATGAACATATGCATCATTTTAAACTTTTTTTGTGGCAAGAGAAATTAAAACAGCATAAATCCCAAGTGTGGTACAGTTTTATCACCTAGATTCCTTGTGTTGGGTATGAGCTCTCTAGACTGGTCATCCGTCATACCTGCTGCATCATATCCTCTGATCTGTAACTCCCCATTTCTGCTCCAACCTTAAACTACTGTTTTGTTCTCTGCATATTAGATTTTTTTTTTTTTTGGGGTCCGGCCATGGGGCCTGAACTCTGGGCCTGGGTACTGTCCCTCAGCTCTTCAGCTCAAGGCTAGCACTGCCACAGCACCACTTCCGGGTTTTTTCTTTTTGCTTATGTGGTGCTGAGGAATCGAACCCAGGGCCTCAGGCATGCAAGGCGAGCACTCTACCACTGAGCCACCTTCCCAGCCCTAGAATTTTTTTTAATGGGTAAGATCATGCAATATTTTCTTTTAGGTCAGACTTGTAAAGTCACATGGTATAAAGGTCTTTTTTTTTTTTTTTTGCTGGAAAGTATACCAATGTGCATATTCATCGTGGTTTCTTTATCTGGTTGTCGACTGACAGTTGTTTCCAGGTTCTACTGTGCAGAATTCATAGGAATGAAGATTATCTTTACAAGGTAGCAATTTCCTTTTCTTTGGTTATATGCTCAGAAGAGATTGCTGAATTTATATGATGGCTCTATTTTTCATTTCTTTAAAGACTTCCATACCGGTTTTTGATAACGTGCCAGTCCACACGCTCATCAACAGTATGAAAGCATTCAGTTGCTTCTGACTTGCCTTTCCTTGATGATGGAAAACACTGAGCACTACTCTATGACTTGCTGGTGGGTCTTTGAACTGGGATTACTCATTTTTCTACTGTCAACTTGTACAAGCTCTTTATAAATTTTGAGTGTTAGGACAAAGGATAAAACCCCTTGTTTAGAGACTAACATATATACTCAGAGATCTTCATAAATTCACTAAAATCACACTGAGAATAATAGTAAGGACAGAACACCTTGGAAAGAAGTTATGCATATAAATAAGCATGTTGGCTTTATGTACAAGGCATTCTTTAAAACTGTCAGTGATAGATATCAAAAGGGGAGAACATAGTCTTTCAGCTCTAATATTCAGGCTTGGTACTTCTCGAGAACTGTTGCACAGGTTAGAATTTGTGTAAAACGTGATTGATAGTACGCCCCTCCCCACCTTTCTAATTAGCTCAAATGACAAGCTAGTTTGCACATAGTATGAGGATTTCTATGGACATTTTCAGGAAAATCCTAGATACTATCATTGACTTTAGAAATAATTCTGAGTAATGTTCAAAACAAAGGCGGCTTTGTTTAATCTTACATTGTTGAATTAGAAATGAGCCAACAAGTCCAATAAGACTTATCACCCTTTCAAGTTTCAATAGTTTATTGCCAAGTACATTTTTATTTTTAAAGCTCAGCATAAGGGGAAACAGATTAGCAATTGGGTTTAGTCTATACAGAAGTCTGTAACTGTTTTAACAGGGCATCAAAACTATGCCCAGGTTAGCATAGGATTAGGATCACATGTGATCCTAGATAAATTAGTATTTTTGTGGCTTAAATCTCCATGTTTGAAAGTGGGAATTAAACTATGTACCTCAGAAAATATATGGATAGTAAATTAGATACTAAAGAGATTTTACAGTAGAAAAAACACAGAAAAAAGTTTAAATACAGAAACTGTGATCAGGAATCATTCATTGTGGAAGAAAATGAAGTGCTGCTTTTTAATTCAGAAGGCATTCTGTGGTTGTTTGCTGACAAATATACTTCCAGATGAAAGGTTATCTAGACTGTGATGAGAATGTTGCCTGAGTTAGGACCATGCTTTTAGGCTACTTAGAAAATTATATATAGTAGTAAAAGACTAGAGCAAATCTAGGTATTACCCATTTTAGGAAAAAAACTGCAAGGATTCAAAGGGTGAGTACTGCAGCTAAGAGAGCAGACATACACGAGTATAGACTATTACCCACAGAAACCTCAGAGACTCTTCTATCCTCTATCTGTAGAATGTGTATCCCATTACTGGGTCCAGGCACCCTGTAACCTGTCTTACAAATGAGTCTAGGCAGATGCTTTACCATGATTGTCCTTGGTGGATTGACAATACCAAATACTGACTCAATACTCCCAACAAATGAATGTTTGAAAAACCTGAAATGCCTCCCATTTCCACATGCCAAGCAGAACGGACCCCTGTTGCCAGCTAATTTGAAAATTTACACTCCAGCTTTGAGCTTAAGATTCTCAAATTTGTTGCCATTCCATCATACAGAAGCAGCCTTGGTATTCTGAAGCTGGAGCAAAAATGAGACAAAGTGAAGAAGTTCCTACTGACTGGGCACACAGTCAAAGGCATGTCATCCAGACTATGGGTTCAACCACATGGTGTTCCTTCTTGATTAAAAAACTCATTAATCTGACACTCAAGGAGCCAGATCCTCATTGTTTTTTGTTTTTATCTTGTGGGCTCACATGTCCACATATTAACTTCTCAAAACTGAGCGAATTCAGAATTTATTTATTCATGAAGTCTAAATTTGCTCACTGGTCTTCTAAATACTTTTGAGACTTTAATAGAATAAAAAAGGAGGGGAAGAGAAATATCTATTAAAGCAAGGAAGGGGCAAAGATACAATGCTTGGTTAAAGCCTTAAGAGCGACTACAGGTTGGGCCCCCAATTGCCCTTCCTAATAACTCCCCTGCAATGGCTCTTACTATAGAATGTGATAAAATAACAACACACTTTTAGTACAAGAGATGACAAGCATGGAATTTGGAGACTGATAACTCAGGTTTAAGTCCTGGCTCCAATTATTGGTCTATGCACCTGGACATAAGTTCGTTGGCTCAGTTTTCTCATCTATTACATGAAGTTCTAACTACCTCTTGGCCACAAACTGTTCTGAGAATATGTAGAGAGGAAGAACACTGACATATTTTGTAGATGTTGTAAGCCTATCACAAAAAAGGGGGGAGGGGCACACCGGTGGCTCACGCCTGTAATCCTAGCTACTCAGGAGGCTGAGATCTGAGGATCACGGTTCAAAGCCAGCCTGAGCAAGAAACTAACTCCGTGAGACTCTTATCTCCGAGAGACCACTAGAAAACTGAAAGTGGCACTGTGGCTCAAGCGGTAGAAAGTCCCATGACTGACCAAAACAAACAAAACTATCACAAGTGACCTACAGCAGGCAAGAAGTCAGTCTACAAATTAGGTTTTTTTTTTGTTGTTGAGGTTATTTAAGGGATCGTTCTTGAAGCATTCTAGCACCTAGCCACACAGGGTAATATCAGAGAATTAAGGATAATAGTATGAGTCTATGAAGTGACTCTACAGTCCTGAGCTCTCCCTAGCACAGACACACTAGTATTACTGTCCTGTATATCTGGAGCCTCATGGGCTTGTTAAAATCTAGCAGATGTGCTTTACTTACCAGGCTCTGGTTGTCTGGCAGCATGACGATGATCTGTGCATTATGATCCCAAATCATTCGCCAGAAATCTTTCGTAGTATGTGGCAGAGGATGCTGGGTTATAATAAATTCATTGCTCCTGTAATAGCCCTTCAGTTAGAAAGAGAGAAACATTAGTGATTATAAGCTTTTTGTTCTAACTTGGTGGTAGCAGAATAGATTCATGAAACCAGACAAGCATTGCTTTGGTGACTTTAAAATATTCGAGAAAGGCATTTAGTACATTTGGCTAATTTTTAGAGGTATTTCTTAACATTATGCAAACCATTTCCTCTCCACATGCAATTCACTTCAAGTTACCCCTGCTGTTTTTACTTAGTAATTTCAACATTTATTCAAATGCTAGATGGGTAAAAGTAACAAAAAAATAATTCCTTAAGAAGCATTTTGCTTTATGTAGGCATTTTTGTACTCCTACTGTTCGGGTATCTTTTGTTACAAATTCTAAGATATAGAAATCTCTAAATTTTTTGCTATTTTACACATTGAGAAATTATAAAAAAAAAAGAGAGAGAGAGAAATATCCACAGAGGTGGTATCTGTGCTTTAACACCCTTCAGTTTAATTGACTTAATTTACGATTAATTGTTGACTCTCACCATGATATAAGAAGCATTAATGTAATCTGTTCCTTTCATTCCAGGCAATGGTGCAAGACCCACTCGAGCACGCTCAGCTATCACATGGAAAAATCAGTAACACAGCATTAGTCTTATGATACTGTAAACAACAGCTCCTCCTGAGAATAACATATTCTTCTTCGTGGGAGTAACATATTTCTCTATCTCCTCTGAAATTTACTTACATGGCTCAGCAAAGGGAGAGGCAGAATTTAAACACAATTTTGGTGTACAGACCCAGTAGACCTCTAAGGTATATCTTATATAAACATGTCAGATGGTATGTGATAACTTTTTACTTTAGTTTATAGTCTTAGAGTTCCTTAGCTTTTGTCCCTGCAAACTTATAAATGTCTTTGCCCCATGAAGGGCCGTTCTCAGAGAAAAATCTCTCTGATGATTACTCATATCTGTGTCTACAGTGTACATACAAAGCGTCCTGATTTAATGCAAGCGTAACTCCCAATCAATTTTGTCTGGATCTCAATATCCAGGATAATTGAATGCTGCAGCTCTAGTTGTACAGATTAATCTAGGATTTGATAAGTGGTAAGAGCTTTGTTACTATCATCATAAAATGAAAGACGGCAGAAGTAATCAAATTCTATATATATTTTTCTGATCCTGGGGTTTGAACTCAAGGCCTGGGCACTGTCCCTGAACTTCTTTGTGTTCAAGGCCAGCCCTCTACCATGTGAACCACAGTGCCACTTGTGACTTTTTCTGAGTAGTTTACTGGAGATAAGTCTCACGGACTTTAGTGCCTGGGCTGGCTTCGAATCATGATCCTTATATCTCAGCCTTCTGTGTACAGGATTACAGGGGTGAGCCACTGGTGCCCAGCTTGAATTCTTATATTTCAAGGGGAACCTAAACTAGATTTCTTGTCAGATATATGGACTAACTCCAAAAGTCTGCCTATCATTCACCTATCCAAGAGAAATAATTGACAGGAGGGTTTGAGATGGGGCGGGGCGGGGGGAGGGGGGGGGAGATAGCCATCAAGATGCATTGTACTTATAAACTGGTATGTTGTATGGTAACCCCTTGGAATAACTACTTAAAGATAATTTTTTTAAACCCTCTAACCCAAGTCAAACTGATTTTAAGGTCTTACATGGCACAACTGAAGAGTTTCTGTTCTTTTCTTTGTTGCACTCTTTCTGAGCACTGAAGCACTCCACATATTTTGCATTACATTGAGTGACCAGCTAAAAGAAAAGTAATGTTTTAGTCTTCATTCAAGGGTATAATTCATATACCTGCTTGATCATTTAGAAAATACCAATAATCAGATTACTAAGAAGGACATTTTTTTTTTGTGCCTCAGAATACTCTCAATGCTTCAATATAGTGGAACCTTGTCTCATTTCTGGAACCTGGGTACTGTGTGGACTTCTGTGAACATGGTATCACTACTGTTTTGATTTTTGTCCTTAGTGGCACACATAACTTAAGTAACTCATCAAGAGCTAATTACATTGCTTGTAGATGAAGAATTTAGTAGGTTCTTAGTACGCTTTTGTTGAAATAAGAATTTTTAAAGGTCATTATAAATAACCCAGTAGGGTGGTCATTTTTCTTATTTTGTTCCTTGGCAATCATTTGGTCAATCTGCTTTCCTAAGTGTACATGGGGAAGTAGGGTGTCTATTTACAAGCAACATATGGGAAGTTTGCTTTTCCCAGTGTGTGAACTGCTGCCATTGGGTGCTAGAGGCACTAAGTGTCATCTCCAAGTGTCTGACTTTTTCCCCTTCTTCTATTTGAGTTCTAAAATGAATAATGACTGTAAAAAAGCCAGATACCTGGTTTCCAGCTGAATATACACTGGATTGTTTGATGAATTAAGAAAACATGTTTAGAACCAGAAGAGTTTCAGATTCTTTGGGATTTTGAAATATTTGCATACATATGAGGTGTCTTGGGATGGGAATCAAGTCTAAACATAATAAATTTGTTTCATATTCACATAGCCTGAAGGTAATAATTCTAGTGTTTGAAGCGAAGTTTCACAGTGTGGAGCTTTGTGGCATCATACTGTCACTCAACAAAATTCGGACTGAGGAATGTTTTAGATTTTTAAGTTAAGGAAGCTCTCATTAGTCATGCTCAGTTTTTTTGCTTTGCACAGTTGTTCGATAGGTAAACAATTTCTCATTTTGTGTTCAAATGGAAAAGAATGAGATGAGCCTGTGCTCATTTCTTATAATAGAGCTTTCCAGAATCTTTAACTACAGAAAGGTAAAAGAAAGTAAAAAAAAAATTCTCATTTAAAAAATTTAAAGTGACATACTGTGTCCTTACTATTAATCCCTAGAAGTGATTTTTATAGCATTTAGGATGTTAACAGGAACTAGAAATTTAAAATTACTCTTATGACCAAACTCAATGGAGTCTATTTTTTAGTTCTTATCATAGGATCCAATTTGCCTGGCACGATCCAGATGAAGGTTTCAGAGGCTACTGAAAGATTTATCAGGAGAAATGAAGCTATAGAGATTCATCCCAGCCTTCCCATCTTAATACGAAGATAAAGATTTAACTTTACATAAGGAACAAAATGCAGGAAAATAAGAATTGAAAAGATAATTCAAGACTAACAAATAACAAACCATTAAATGATTGGGAAAGATAGGCAGCATATCAAAGTTACAATTAATTCCTTGAGCTTTTCTCATCTTAATTACAGTCTTAACATCTAACTGTCTTTAAATGTTACACTCTTATTGAAGAAAAAAACAATTATTGTAGAAACACAACTTTTCTGTTATTATTTAGTAACTCATTTTTAAAACTTGTCTCCTGGAATAGATTTTCAACAGGCATATTTTAAGGACAATATGTTAAATAACTTTTTTTTTTTTTGCTAGCACTGGAGTTTGAACTCAAGGCCTTACACTCAGCTTGTTTGCTTGGATAGGCCTCTACCACTTGAGCCATCAAGTTCAAGTAACAATCTTTTCTTTCTGACTAGAATATAGACCTAGTTTCATGTTATTGTGACCAGAGGATGATGTTTACGGTCAGATAAAGTCATAAACTACTCACAAGAAAATATGGAACAGGACTACATCTACTTGAATACAAATGATACTTATATGGATCAGAACCTGACTTCACATTACAGTTAAAGAGTACAAAGAGGACCTGACCTTCAATTCTTTTCTACTTCCTTGCTTTAAAGATATTATTATGCAAAGTTCTACCTTAAACTGTTTTTCCAGCCGAGTCTTTCCTCCCACTCCTGGTATGAGGATACTGTTAACATAGCTATGTAGCTGATTTGAAGATACTTCAGTCTCCTTTCCAAGAATGGCTTCCAACAAGGCATCGTGGATGAAAATGTACTGCTCCTACAAAGTGCAATATATGATGATCACCAAGGAAACCTGTTAATTCTGCCTCAAATAGGGACCTGTCAGTGAGTTCCTGCAAGCATTTGGAGCTAGATGGTCTGTTTCAATACTCACTCATCATAATTTATTTTAGGGCAGATATTGTTAACAGCTCTTTGCTCTACACTGTGCCTGGAGGGTCTATACGGCCAGCAGTCCACAAATGTGTCTTCAATGAAGGCCTTAGGAACCATCTTGTCCTAGATGTTGTATCAGACCCAACAATGTATTTAACTCCCAATAGTTTGTGACCCAGTTCTCAGTACAATACAGCTGTAACTCAATCTTAAGTGCTTTTATAGTTATTAACAAATCTGAATGTTCAAGATCCACCCAGAAATAGAAAACAGATCCAAACAGTAGGATATCTTCTACAACCCTCTACATTCCTTCATGTCCCAACAGAATGAATCTGTGTTTTCAGTGTCATTCAACTTTCAGTTGAAAGGGTGCTGGCAGCCCCTCCTTACCTCAGTCTGGACGAGGTAGTTACGCTGAGTCCTGATATGCTTCAGGAATCCCAGGACATTAACTGTGCTTTTGTCTTTTATCTGTTGCAGCATGCTGTCTATCACAATATAGGTGCCTGTCCTGCCCACACCAGCGCTGTTAAGAAAGGAAGGCAACTCAGAATGTTAAGTATCCAGTGAACTTGCAAATAACCTTGTCTAACCTAGTATAAATGACATAGGACATTCATGTAGACATTGCCTACAAACTGCATTGAGAGCACTTGCCACCTTGCAAGTCATGATAAGGAGCACTTTATACTGTAGGAATTGCAAGACAAACAATGTATATTACTTTGAAGCTTGGGATGCACAGCTGCAGTCACTGCCCTAGCAGAAGCCAGCTGCTGAGGCTCTGGCAGGCAGCTTCTCCTGCTGTGTGCGCTCACAGTGACTCTGTGAGCACTCATCCTGTGAATGAACCCCTTTCCTGTACAACTGCCTCAGTTGGCTTTTGTTGCCTGCATTGAAGAAGCTGACCAGTGAGCAGTATTAGCAGGTTCCTACTTAAAAAGGGATATTTGCCTTTAGTAATATCAAGGAATAGCCTGAGACTGTGACCTGTAGAAAATTTGGCTTACTCATATTTCTTGTTATTTTGGAAAATACTCAGCAAGATTTGGATTCTTTAGTACTCAGTCACAATCTTCTTTTGGTCAAATGCCCCAGAAACTTTCCTGTCTGGCACAATACCTAGGCTGTTTGATAGACTTCTCTCCACTTTAGTGATTCCTAAATGGATTAGCATAAAAGCAGAGTTTTCCTGGGAATATGGATGTGTTCCAACTTCAAAAAGAGACTTTTTTGGGGGTAAGAGCTTATTGTAAGAATAGCCCAAAGAAATGCTTAGAAAATACCATGTAGATGGGCGCCAGGGGCTCATGTCTAATAATCCTAGCTGCTCAGGTGGGTGAGAGATCTCAGAACCATGGTACCAAGTTAGCCTGAGGAGACAAACCATGAAAGTCCTATCTTCAATCAAACAGCAAAAAGCTGGAAATAGTGGTATGTGGCTCAAGTGGTAGAGTAGCATCAGTCATGAGTGAAAAACCCTAGCAAGCATGCTGGTACAGAAACAACAAAAAATCAGCAGAATCCATGCAGGTGTGTAACATCCATCACCGAATTAAGTAACATCCATTTGAGTACCAAATCAGGAAAAAACCCACAAATGCTAGTAAAGAAATATATAAAAAGTTTTAGATACTTAAAAATGCTACTACTACGCTTTGGGAAGTATAGATTTTTACTTAGCCTGCTACTTTCCCTATCAACAGTGGTCTTATATGAGAAAATGACTTTATGAAAACTAGAGGTTTAAATTCAATAGAAAAAACAAAGCAGTAGAGGTTTGTCTACTTGAGCAGATATTTAGGTTTGTGCTGATTTACTCATCTTCACTTTCAGATAAGGACTTGGGCTCTAAGTCAAAGGAAACAGAATAGCTGTGGTTCCAAGTTCACAAGGCAGCCAACTTCAGGAGTCAAACAGGAGGCTGAAGAAAGAGATGCCAACATACCTGCAGTGCACCAGCACAGGGCCCATGTCTGGTGTGCGGGCTGCCGAGGATCTCCTCACGAAGGTCAGGACCGGGAGGGCATACTCAGGAACCCCCATGTCAGGCCACTGTGTGTAGTGATACTGGATCACTATCCTTTCATTCTGGCGGCCCTTGGGGTTTCCCTTCTGACCCTAGAAGAGAGGTGTAAAAAGATGCCATGAATCTGAGAGTGAATATTCTGGACAAAAGGACTTCAAGTGTGCCTGGAAATAAGGCTTCTGATTTCATTTTCCCAATTATTGTTTCTGAGCTATGTCACTTACTCAATTTGGTCTAACTTCCTTGTTACTAAACAGAGATATCTAGCTAGATGTGGACCACCCCGATCTCTTAGAGAAGATGGTCATACCAAGAGAAGATGGTCATACCAAGAGTGAACATTTAACAGCAGGCATTTGGATTCAGAATATCTTTCCTACAAGGCTCTGTGTCCTGACTTGTTGCCCCTTTCTATGCTTTGCACTCATTTCCCCATGGACCATTATTCCTGGCCCTTCTCTACTGTCTGGAAGCAGAGATACGGGCTAGGTACTGCTGTGTATTCTTTTCCAGGAGGTTAGGAGAGGGCTCTAAATGTGAAACAAGTCACCAGCCTCTGGACTTTTTCAAAGAAGTTTTCCTCTAACAGACTGAACTTTGATATGTTAACTTGTTTTTGATAATTCAGGGCCAATAATGGGGCTTACAGGACACCTGGCACTGTGCTACAAAGGCCCAAGGCTGTTTTCTTGCTATCAGTATCCAGAACACCTTAAGATCCTACTTATATCTTTCGCTGACAAGAAGTGTGAGTCTGCTTAAATTCCTGAAGAATTCCGATGAGTCATAATAGCTTTATACTAACTCTTGATTTGCTCTATGATATAAACACAGGGATGGTGCTACTGATTTTCAGGTCTTCAGTTATTTGTAGAATTCTATATGATTTGTGATTTATGGGTCAAGGTGACTACTGTTTTAACACATTTCCAAAGATCTCCAAGATGCCAAAAAAAGTCTTATTTTCTGCAAACAATTCTGCGAACAATTGTCCTATATATGAGAATATAGCTCCGTATTTTCTTTCTGAGCATTTATCTATAGTTGATGATCTATGAATCTGGTCATCACAGTAGATTTTGGAAAATAAAAACACTGAGGTAACTTGAAAACAGCATGTATGATTCTCTGAATATTAATAGTTCCACAGGGGGAAAAACATTTTTATAGTTGACATTAGAAAACACTAATCAGAAAAATCTTAACTCCAATATTGTGTTCATTGCTCATTTCTAAAAGAGGATACATATTCTGTAGCATCCATTTTTTATTCTTATCAACAGCATAACCTGGTTTTCTTTGTGTGTGTATCCAGTATCAGGCTTTGTACTCACACACTTGCTCAGCTTTTATGCTCAAGGCTTGCATTCTACTGCTTGATCCATGCCTTCATAGACAGTTTTCTGGTTAGTCTCCTGGACTTGTTTGCCTGGGTTGGTTTCAAACCACAATTCTTAGGAGTCAACCTTCCGAGTAGCTAGAATTTTTTAAAAATGGTTTTAAGTGTGAACCAACTAAGTTAGTGCCTGGCAAAAACTTGGATTTGTACATAAGTATAGTTCAGGACTAGTATTTCTTGGGAAACCAACAAATACATGACATTTTTGCCAAAAGAGGATGCGTTTTTATCAAAACAACTTATTGGCCTATATTGTACACTGGTTTTTCACACAGGTGCACAGATGCTTTGATGGCCTGCCCAGTCCCTGATACCTTTTTCACTTTCGTGTTTCTGACTGAAAAACGACGAACAGTGTAGCAGGCATGTACTTTTGTGCTCTTCAGTGTGACAATAATGTTTCCATACTCTTCGCTGTTCTCTGTTGGCCAATACTGATCACATTTCCGCTGAAAAAAGACAAAAGTTACAAATGACAATGCCAAGACACAGGTAAGTCTGCATAGGCTGAACTACTTAAAGACAGAAGTGACCTCTGAAGAAGTGAGGCACTGGGATAACTTGGGGCAAGAGAAAGTGTATGTATCATGTGGAACACAGGCCTGGATTTATGGAAGAGACCAGGGAATGTGTTACAGTTTGGGTCATCACAGAATGAAGAGTCAGAATGAAGCAGTAGTTATTTTTGAGTAATGAACTTGAAACGTTAGCCTTCACTCCAGCCTAAATTAGCACCACAGACTCATTATCCAGTATCTTCTACAACACTTACGGTGTTTCTCAAATGTGGTCTGAAAGTCAGGGTGTCTAAGCAGTCCTTTCTGTAATGTCCTCACTCCCTCCTAAACTCTTCCAACTTCCTTGTTTTTTGGCTCTTGCTGTCCCCTGTTCAAGTCTCCCCTTAGATATTAGCTACTGTAATACCCCCTGGACTAGAGGATGCCATTCATGGAGTTCACATTTGTAATGCCTTAGTTCTTTTTCCACCAGTGCACTCTCAGAACTACAGTGGTGAGAACACGTTTTCACTTTCTCTAAATTCCTGTTCTACTATAGGCATTCTACAAATACTTTGTTAATTAAGATAATAAAGCAAGGTACTCTTACTCTTCCTTTCTCCACAAGATTTGTAATCATGACAATAATTCCGGTATTTTGCTCCCAAATCATCCTCCAGAAGTCTTCAAATGTCGACTTTAAAGGTCCCTGCGTGGCAATGTAGGATTTCGCTTTGTTGTAACCCTTCAAAGGTGACAGAGTACAAAGTGAAATGAAAGCAGTATCACACAAGACCAGTTAATAATTCAAGCACCTTCCACAGTGAATAGGCTGAGCTTTCCATGAGACCTCAGCACAGTTTTAAAATACATGCAGCAATCTCTGCTGTATTCTTCAGTTTCAGAAATGGGTTAGGGCTATAAAAACATGTCTGACTTACATCGACATAGTTTGCATTAATGTAGTCACTGTGCTTAGAGTCTTTTCCTGGTAAAGGTCTTAACTTCACCCTACTGTGATCATCTATAAAAGATAAAAAGGCAAAACAAAATGTAGAATTTTTAACAAAAGCAGCATTTTAAACATTAACCCCATGTAATCTCCCAGAATGAATACACTGAGAAGCCTCTGAGCAACTGCTAAATACATAGAGCATTCGAAACCATAGCGAAAGCACAGGGCCATTTATAGCCACTCCAGAGTGCCTAAGAAATGCAGTTTTTTATGCTGAAAGCAAGTTCAAAGGCCTTTGATTACCCATGTCCCATCCCCCATTAATAGGTCTAAAAATGCGATTGTGCAGAACATCTATTTTCAGAAGACTAAATTCAGATGAATTCCCTGTTATTGTCACAGAACCCAAGGACTTAAACCTGGGATCCTTCAAGAGGAATCTCATTGTGCATCAGCTACAGTCAGTTTTGAAGATGGTTTCTTACCATAGCAAAAGAAATAAAAGGAAGCTGAGAGCTTTTTCCTAGCTAGGATGGATAGAAGATTAAAAATCACAGACAGGGCTGGGAAGGTGGCTCAGTGGTAGAGCGCTTGCCTTGCATGCATGAGGCCCTGGGTTTGATTCCTCAGCACCACATAAGCAAAAAGAAAAAAGCCAGAGGTGGCGCTGTGGCTCAAGTGGTAGAGCGCCCAGGCCCAGAGTTCAAGCCCCATGACTGGACCTCCCAAAAAAAAAAATCACAGACGAATGATCAATAAACACTAATCATAACAGAACTGCACATTTAAAGTAATAGGATAGCACTTTACACTATGAGGGCTATTATGACCCCCACCACCACACTTCACACCCCCACCTTTCCCAAATTAGCTGGTGCTGGTGGGAATGTGAAGATTCTGGACCTCTCATATACTGCTGGTGGGAATCTCAAGTGGAACAGGCACTTCGGTAATTCCTCAGATGTTAGACTTACCACACAACTTAGCAATTCTATTCACATACATATCCAAGGAAGCTAAAATATGTGCTTGAATAAAGCCTTATATATGGAATTAATAAAATGTGCCATAGCCATACAATGGAGTACTATTCAACTATAAAAAGGAATGGAATACTGATACGAACTTGGGAAACATTATCTTAACTTAAAGAAGCCAGGCACAAAAAGTTACATGAGATATTATTTACATGACAGGGATAGGATATGCAAATCTCCAGAGATAAGAAGGAGGTATGAGTGCCAGCTAACACCTGAGGGGTTTGTTGAGATGTTAAAAATGTTTGAGTGTGGTTATGACTCTGCACTCTGAACACACTAAAACCCACTGAATTGTGTGTTGACTTTAAATGGGTACTTTACATGTGGTGTGAATTACGTTTCACTAAGGCTTTCTTAAAATTTTTCCATACTGTTCAGATTTTAAGTGGTCCAATTTAAACCCACTCTATATAATGTGGTCTTAACCAAAGTATGTGTTCACCATAAAATCGCTATGTCTGCCTTTCATCCAAGAGCATACACCTTGTGATGGTGAAATGGTGAGGGTCAGCTGGAGTTGTTTACAAAATGTTTAGGCTCACGGTAATAGTAAAACACATCTCTGGGTATGTGGTTGATAACTTTTCTGACATTAATTAGATGGCTTTCTGTGGTCAAATTAAGAAGAGGATGAGAAAAGACATTGCTCTGCTTCAACGGAATGAATGGGTTAATTCGTGATATGATGTCATTACTGAGAGATGGTGAAAAGTAGGAGGTGGCCTGGTTCTAGGGGGACACAGTAGGTCCGATGGAGGCAGGTGCCCCTGAGATACAGATATATCTTGCCCTGGCTCTCCCTGAATTCCCATCTGCCTTGTAAAGGAGCTCCCTTCATATCGCATACTTTTGCCACTATGATGGGTTTCCCACTGACATGGGACCAAGTAACCACGGCCTGAACCCGCCAAACAGCTCCTTTCTTTAGGTTGTTTAACCAAGTACTGCGGTCACAGCTATGGAAAAGTAACACATACCTGCTAAGCATCCCGATCCATATTGACATATTTCCATATGTCATCATGTCATGTTCTATAATGTTGTACTGTGATATTTCAGGTTAAGAATGCCCAACCTACATTATTAGCCACTCCCCTAAGTTCTCCGTGTCTATGGACCTGACTTTCCAGTCACAGATGTAGTCTGTACTAGGATATTCCTTCAGGCCCCATGTGTAGCATACCTCACTGTCTGATGTGCTCTAACCTCTAGGATGCTCCTGAGCCTGAAAATACACTGGGTAGAGCTAAATATATGGACCAAAAGGACAGGAGGTTCATCCCTTAAGGAAAGCCTAATTAGGCAGCCTTAGAAAGACTGCTCTGAAATTCAGCTTACTGAACTTCCTTCCTTCCCTGCGCTTGTTATTAGAAACCTCTATCCTCATTGGTTACAATGCCAGTGATATTTATATTCTGGCTCCCTACATCTGACAGGACATCCCTTCATGTGAAAACAGTGAAGCTCAGAACATTTTTTTCTTTTTGAGTCATCTTATTAAACTCTCTGACATCTGACAGCCAAATAAAAGACTGAGCGGGTAGAGAATGTCCCCACTTCCTTAGACTTTGGAAGACAGGCTAATGAGAGGTTAGCTTGCAAGCATGATTCTTTCTTGGCATTCTGGCTCTATTTGGCTTTTAGTTTCTACTCAGCATGAAAATTCAATTTCCTCACAGTTGAAGATAGTTTAAAGTTTATTACTCACATGCTAAAATGTTGATGTATCTGTTTTTGTGCTTGTTATCTAGATGATTGGAATGTTCTGCAGTGATGTTCATATCTGCCGTACAGCGTTGGACCTCCTAGTGAAGAAAGCAAACGGTGACATTTTAAACACACTTTAGAAAACAAGCAACCATCGTCACACATAAATGTTTCTATCCCCATGGACTGAATACATAACAGGATTCCCTATAATTGTATTGTGGCTGAAAAATTCCTATCTCCTCATGACGTCAAAGCCATGATAACAACTTAGCATAACACATTATTCATGTGTTTATGGTGCCCTGTCAATCATTAAGTAGAGTATGTACACTTGTGTCCAGTATATAATACTTGATGATAATAAAGGACTTGCTACTAGCTGCTTTTTACTGTACTAAATTATTGGTATTTTATAGTATGGCCCCACTCCTAGAACCGTAAACTGGAGGCCCTGTTCAGTCACTGACCTAAACAATCTAAGTTTGTATAACTGCACTTTATGGTGTCCATACAATGATAAAATTGTCCAGTGAGGTCCTTCTATGAACCTGTGTTCATCATTAAATGATATCTATCTATCTATCTATCTGTCTGTCTGTCTGTCTGTCTGTCTGTCTGTCTAATCTATCCACCTATCTATCCTTCTACAAAGTACTTACTCTCTAACGCTGAATGCACCATTACCTCCCAAACCCAAACTTAGATATAACCATTACCACAAACATAATAAGCATATGAAGAATACATGAAGATCTAAGGTTTTCATTCTTTACTAATTCATCATTTGTCTACTACAGATTTGGAGCCAGGCATTAAGATCCAAAAGAATATCTTTTTAAAAGTAGACCACAGTCTACTCAAGAAAAGATGCTGTCAATCAAATGCAATCAAAAGACCACAGGTTTAAGAAGAATAATTCTAAGAACAAAGCAAGGAAAGTTTAAACCAAGGTGCAACAGTTTATCCTGAGTCTTAAAGGATCCACAGAAATTTGTAAGGACAATATCCAACTATGATTTGCAACCATTTTATAACCACGAGAGTATACAAATTGACTTAAAGAATTCAGTTCTGAAATATTCAGCAACTAATTGTGGCTCAGATATGTATGGCCCCTGACAAATCACTGCTGAACTTTATTCAAGTGTACTTTCTCTACAAAAACAACAGTGGCAAAAACAACTTTTCCACTACCTTATCCCTGCATAGAAACATCAATTTAGCCAAAGACAAGGTTGCTGAAAAGCCAAATTTTTCTACACTGAATGCTTCAAATCCAAGAAAGTATGGGAGCAAACTAATAAAGGGAAGTCATTAGCAGTGCACAGCTGTTACAAAGAGCAGGAGCGAAGTAACAAAATTATCAGGAGCAATGTTTTACACGTAGCAGATGTAACAGAGTTTAGGAGAATCAGACTTTTTTTTTCTTTCACAAAGGAGTTGCATAGCAATTACAGATCTTTGCCACAGCATTTACATTAAGCATAATGACAACGGGGAATAGTTGTCTGGTATATTCACAGAGGACTTCCCAGGAAGGAATCCCTCTCTGCCCTGCTAGGACCAACTCACTAGCATGAAAGAATAACTAAGGTATAAAAATAAAGGATTACTATCTGTTCAAAGGATGTACATGCATTGACTCTCCAGTTCTTGGAAGCTGTTTACATATTGAATTTTTCATTATCACAGGCCATCCTAGCTGTCCATTAAAAAAAAAAAAGACCCCCATAGGCAGTTGCTCAATCAGCTCTTTGGGGAAGTATATTTCATGAGGATTCTTAACCTGCTTCTAAATGCAATAAGCTATTTTCTGTTCTATTCTAAAACAATTTAATAACTTGTAGCTTTGCAAACAGTAGTTCAAAGGACTTAAGACTGCCTTTGGCTGTTTTCTCTAAAATGTGGAAAAGTTTGGGCATAACATAGTCTGATATGTTGTCATCTACAAGAGCATAAGTAATGTTAACCAGACTTGCAATATTGGTTTGGTCCATGTCTTTTGGAATTGTCTTTAAAGCCTGAGGTATACTTTTCTAAGGCAGAGAACTTTCTAAAGTCGATTCATATTCATATTTGTATACAAATAGCAGAAATGAGCTGACATCTTGTTTCTACGTTGTGAATGTCATAGCCTGGGCTATGTACCTCCGAGCTGAGTTGTTTAGGTTTTACTTAGCTGTAAGTTCTTTAGTCTAAGATTCATTTTGGTTATTGCTTATTTTTCTCCTGTTATGTGGTGATAAGCATAGCTATGGACTGAAGCTCGGACTCTGTTATAATATAATTGACCAAGACTGTTTGGTACCAGCTGTCTGCACTGTTTTAAGTGGTCATTCAGTATGTCCAAACTTCTTTTGTTATCTAAAACCCTTGGTCTCATTCACTGGCTCTGCTTCACTTTTCCAATTATGTGAATGACAGAAAACAAAGACTAGTCATAAATAATGCTAAATCTGATTTATTAGAATTCATAGGGGCTTGCCTAAGGCCTTCCTGATTCTGTCTGGTGGATAATAATGTCATCTGTAATTCCTTGTGGTACTGCTTGGCTCATTTAGATGCTGATAATATCATCTGATCCTGGAGTGGCTTTCCTCTATTGGAACTGGCATTTCAAAGTTAATGTGATTTTAATCGGTGTTAAAAATCTTTAGAGTATCACTGCCTGGTGAAGTATATATAGTAAAGCTACCTATTCAGTACCCTGACAAATAATTTAAGATTTATGCTTGCTTCTCTCTCTGTGCCAGTCCTAGACTTTGAACTGAGTTTTTCTGTTCAAAGCTAGCAATTTGCCACTTGAGTCACAACTCCACTTCCAGCTTTGTGTGTGTATGTGAGAGAGAGAGAGAGAAAGAGAGAGAGAGAGAAAGAGAGAGAGACAGACAGACAGAGAGACAGACATAGATAGAGAGTGAGAGATCAACTGAAGGTAAAAGTCTCACAGACTTTCCTGCCTAGGCTGGTTTCAAACTATGATCCTCAGATCTCAGACTCCTGAGTAGCTAGGACTATGAGTAGCTAGTATTATAGGCATGAGCCACTGGTGCCCAACAAGCTTCCTTGTTTCTGTCGCTATTAAAAGCTATCCAAACTCTTAAAATGAATATTCTGAATATTAACAGGCATCCAACCCAAGAAGAGAGTCGATGGAAACCGGAGGCTCATAAAGTAACACTAACCTTTGATATAGCAAGAATTCTTGGGAGATGAATAGCCTAGTCACTTTCTGTCTGCAGTCAGTGGGAGAGGCTGTCTAGGCAGTATGTGAAAGATCTGCCATTCTACCATTCTTTGGCTCCATTCAAAAGAAAAGATAATTGAACAAAATACATCTGGAAAGCTTTCAGGTTACTGGAAGAAGTATTTAGAACCTGGTTACCAAGCACTAGATTCAGTATATGTACTATGTATGCAGCTCACAACTAACTGTGTTAAGGATCCAGAGAATGCTGCTTGGTTAGGTCCCAAGACATGTACAGGGTCCAAATACCTGGTATGGTCCTAATGTGTCTTCCTACCCGTGGCTCTCCTGCCACAGTTTCCCAAGTGCTACCCAAGACTGAAAGGACTTCCTTTATTCCATTACTCAAAACATTTTGAACAGGTGCCTGATTCCTTCAATAGCGTTTCAAGGTCCCTGCTGTCTTCCACCAATTCCCTTTCCAATCTTAGGATAGTTTCAAATCCATGCCTTTCCGAGACACTGATTTCCTTCTCTTTGCTTTACTCCTGTTTATCTTGCTAAGAGTGGCTTTTTTTTTCTTTTTTCTTTTCTTTTCCAGATCTGTCTATGCTTATAGAAAATGACTTGTCTTTCCCTTCCAGAAAATTAATGAAATTTTGGAAGGTATAACACAGTACCCATCATCCTACAGCTGATCTATAACCTCCAACTATAGTTTCATGTACCTTTCCCTGTTCTTAACTATGTCTTAAACAACTGTATTTTCTCTCTTCAACGTAACAGTTCAAAATGGTTTCCTTTATAATAATCATCAGGACCAAAGGGGAATCTGGTCACAGTGGCTCAGCAAACTACACAGGGTTAATTTTTGACCTCTTGCAGGCAGCAATCTTTATACACAGCCTTACCTCTGTCCAGGGACTCTCGTGACATGTCATCAGCAACCCTGGAAGTCTCCTTTCAATACACAGAGTGATTGTGGCCACAAGTCCCTCAGCGCACTGGGCTCAGGTGGACGAGACTTTGTTCTTTTGATTTAGGATGAGCAACCAGCCCAAATCTACCTCAGCTAATTCATTGCAAGAACAACCATCCCCCGAAGATTTGGTCAAGAGGCCTTTTTGTTCTCATTTCTGCACCCAGACTTTAAACTTCAGATTCTTCCAATCCCTGTCTATTATTGTGTGGACCCGTGAAGCTTCCAAGCTCTTCTCTTTTGCTTTCACTGCCTTCTGCACTATGACTGGGGTTAGGAGGAGGCTAAGATAAAGGTGGTTACTTTATAAAACTATCCTGGAAAGTCACTCCATGGGAAGGAGAGTAAAGCCCAGGAGCTGGTGAACGGAGGCATCTGACACGATCCTGATTGCAGAATCTGTCAGAAGAGGTAGGTTTGTTGTGGTCAGCTTTTCACAATCTCCAAAATTTATCAGAGCACGACAAACATGCTGGCTTTCAGCATGACTGCCAGACAAGACTCAAAACTAGCATGACTTGTTCTTCTCATTCCCCCAAGAGTTCTGGAAATGTGACTTTTATTCACTGTAAGTTTTGACTTCCATTATTTTTTTAAAGCTAGCTTGGGTAAGTGGGAAGGCTCCCTGAACTAGCTAACTGAAATTTAAGGGTACCCTTTCTCCTCTGCACCGCTTCATAACTTTTTACCTGCACTACAGCACATATCCTCTGTTGCTATGTTTCTGCTTTAGCTTTCCTCTGGTCTCCTTACACATCCATCTGACTAAACCCATCAGGATAAGGAGTCTAGCCCATCTTTATACTATATATTTGTCCAGAGAATGGTTGGTATTTAATACAGTTACTTTATCTCTTCAAACATTGTCTATTGCCTATTAAGAGGTATTTCTTTATACTCTAAAGAGCAGTACTTTGATTGACTGTAGGCCTCTAATCACACATTGAGTAGGATACAGAATCTGTATGCCAGATGCTGGCTGGGGAGGATCTATGTAAGAAAGGTTGTGTGATAGGTACCTAGTACTCTCAGTCCTGGCTCTTTATTCTGACCTTCTTTTCTTTTTTTGGCAAAGATACAGATGCATTAGTGGAAATTTTGGTTCTTTGCCCTGACTTCAGCTCACTTCTGGATGGATCCAGAAACTATGGGAATTCAGGTTAGTTAGCCTTCATCTTTAAGTCCCTACTGATACCATTTCAAAGCATAGCAACTCAATGAGTTAGTTTTGTTTTGGATCAAGTTTTCATTTATAAAGACAATGAAATAGCACCTATCACTGAGAGGTGAAATAATATATACACGGTGTTAAGGTCTCAGCATCTTTATCCCACATATAAGATCTGAAAATCTGAAGTTATTACTCTCTGATTATATTAAAGGGGTTATTTTAATTACTTTTACTATTATACACAATCTCCTTTTGTGCTTTTTCTATATAGCCTGTTATGACCTCAATTTATAATATTCATAATAATTTCTTATGTAGAGTGCTACCAGTTTCCCATTTAGCAGTTACCAAAAGACAATAATGCTTCTCTTTTCAAATAGTTCAAATTTTCACCAAATATGATGATAACAATATGTTGGTGAGCTTTTGTACCAAGATATTGGTGTAGCTTTTGCTACCTTACTGTTCCTTTTAAAAGAAAATTCTTCCTGTTCTGAATAGCTTCCATGTTAGCAGTTCAATCCAGGAAGGATTGTGAAATGACAGAACAATGTGTGCTTCCTGTCTACCTCTCCATTCTACTCCTACAACTACTGGCTGATAATATTTTTGCTACAAAGTTCAATGGAGGTGACTAGAGCCATGATATTAGTGTTATTATTTTTCTGATAGACATAAGGTACTGAGAGGCCCAGGATTTGTTAACAGGCATGGGTTTTGATGCAGGAAAGCCTATTTTAAGTCAGCTCCAGTTTATGGAGGTGTAGCTGATTATTTTGAATAATTAAATGGTGTCAAAACCAGCTGTGATGAGTAGCACTGGGGTCTCAAATCATACATAATTGAGAAACCGGAGTTTGCATTTGATCATCCTGATCAAATTCCGCTCTCTGGAGGATAAATGTTTGTGGTGAATACCATCAACATTGTTAAATGCCTCAATATTCTTGCTCAGTCATCCAGCCAACAGTCAATTGAACTAAATCACCCACCACCACACACATTTGCTGTCCTCATGAATACAAAATGTTTGACTGCAACCATGTTCTTTGTCGCCGAATAGGCACCTTTTTGGGTCAGCATATAATAGCATCATTAAATACTTGACATGCGTTTGTTTGTTCCATAAAACACAGCACTGTGGAATAAATCAGAGTCCCTTCGCTCCCTCACTTTTGCGCTACTCATTAAAAAAAAAAAAAAAAAAAAAAGCCCAACACAAAAATCAACCACAACAAAAACCTAAGAGAAAGATTTAATTTAAAATGAGTTGTCAATAGAATTGCATTGCTGATGGCCGTTAGGGATTCCAAATTTGCATACAAACATGGGATTCGGGGCCTATTTCTTATTGTTCAGGCAAGATCATGGTGCCTCCCAGCTGCACAGTGCCTTCGTCCTTCCCAGTGCTTATCTTCCATGACTTCATTCGAGCCCCATCACCAACTATGTGAGAGGAGGTGGGCTGGCTCCACCCTTTACATTTCCATTTTAACACCGAAATGAGAAGGAGAAAGGAGCCGCCTTACCCACAAAGCTAGAAGACAGCTGAGCTGCCACGAAAACTTGGCCTCCTCGGCACAACTCTTGCTGCCAGGGATGTGTGCCTTAGTTAAGCGCCTCAGTGAAGAAAAGGGCAGTCTGTTTAATAGCTCCTCATTGACACCCTGTCACTGCTGAACTGGCACGGAACCGGAGCTGGCAGGGTGGTGCCTGCTACTCCCTACCTTGTTTCCGACATACCACTTCTTAAAATCCGGAAGACTGTGTGTTAACCCGTGTCTTCTCTCCAAGGATTAATAATCACAAAAACAACAACAATCAAGGATGGTTGCTTGCTTCTTAATAATGAGCCCAGCACTTACAAGGATGTTTATCATGTATTTATGTTTTTTTTTCCCCCCCTAACAACTTGGGGATGTGGGTGACATTAGCACCCTTTTTAAAAATGAGGAAACTGGGAATGGGAGATGAAGCGATTGGCCCCGTCGATGATGACTATGAGGCACATGGCTGGCGGAGCCAGCACCCAGTTCTTCAGATGCCAAACCTGCTGTCTCTACGCTACCATGTGCATCCCAGAAATGACATGGAATCAGGGAGCTCTGCATCACGACTGTCGCCCTCTGTTAGAATGAATGGGAAGAAAGAACCAGAAAAAAAAAAAATCTTCACTAGCTGGCCTCTTCTCTACCACCGAGCTCCATCTTTCAGACAAGTGCTCATTCAGAACAATTGCGATCGCCTTCTTTCTCACCTTATTTTGTTGAGGATAGAATGCTTGTCAAAAAGCATCCAGACGCATTGTAGTTGTAAACTGCTTTGGTAAATGGCAACTCCTTTGTACAACGACTTACACATAATAAAAATAAATCATCAATGGTAAGAAAAAGGAAAAACTACCAGTTTTCATTGTTACTGTTCTGTTATGCTTAAATTCAGTTCAAGTTTACAAAAAACCAAACCACCACCACCACCACCACAAACCTCCTTATAAAATGAACTGAGTTCTTGAAATTAATTTTCAGCTTTGAAACGTACCTCAAAATCCTCAGAGAACCCACGCTGGTTATTAGAATACAGCTCGCCGATGTGTTTAACAAACTGTTTGACAGGAATGGCTTCCATGTCATCTGGGGAAATAAAATGATATTCAAAGTCACACAGAATACTTCCATACACAAATGATAATGAAAAAGCAAACCATCCTTAGTTCCTTAGTATAGACAAATATTTCATTTCTGTAAAGAATGACATAATTCTATCATCTGAAATCCACATCCTGAAGAAAACTCTCAAGGTTTATATTTACATTAAGATCTCATTAGAACTTTGAATTGCCTATTAGCCAGGTTAGATAGGGTATTTTCAAAAAGGTACACACGGACTTCCCTTTACTTTGTATAGTCGGGCTGTTTATACAATCAAGTTGCCACATTTTAAACTGTCTGAATTTAACAAGAATAGCTATTTGCCAAGACACTGTATCAGAGCCTGAGCTTTGATTCCTTTTTATTTTTTTTTAATTGCTACTCAATAGGGATCAGGCTCCAACTGGAGCAGGAAAGTACTATTTCCAGTCTTTGAACTCTATATGATCTTTTGTACACAATCAGAGGCCCCTGTACCAGCTGGCTCTGGATACAATGCCATCTATCGTTAAGTGTTCGGAATTTTAGTTCAAGACAGCTGTGCTTACATGATGCCAAATAATCAGTTCGATGGAATTAACTGGATTTATTTATTTATTTTGGTGTTGACAGACTAGGTATAGATTCAGGAAGATTTCACATTCTCCAACTTATTGTAGTATCGTCACTTCTTAAGGACATATTTTCAGTTAATGGGCCCAAAGCATGTGTTAGGCTTATTTACAGAGGCCCGGTCCAATCCTTGATCACTGCTGCTAAACAGCCACACCCATTACACTTGTGCTCCAGACCTTCTTCTCCTCGACCCTCCCCCGCAAATATTTCCTTTTAAAAATACCCTGCTGAATTTGAGATAAACAACAGACATGACATTTACTTTATTCAGAGTGAAAGATCTTTGGCAAACGCACAAACATCTAAACTGCCACAGATGCTTTTCTTAGCAAAGGGTATGAAGATCTGTATGTGTAAATGAGGTCCTACTTTGGCAAGAATTTTATAGATCCAGGCCTGACAATCTGATTTCTCTTCATCTGGTGACAGTTAACATTGACTCTGTCATTCCTTCTCTACTTTTCTTTTGAGAGAGAGCAAAGCTCTAGGGTGGCTTTTTGCATCTATTGACATTTTCAAACTTGAATCATTCTTAGGCAGAAAATAGCATATCTTATACTTTGTTTAGGAAAGGTGATTTATATGTCCACAATCCAAGTGGTTTCAGCACTGACACATTGCTTCTTGCGATGGTGATACTCTGTAAGCATAAATGCTCTCTGTGTAAACAATTAAAGTCCTACTCATTTTAATAGGCGACCTTATGAAAAAAATTGCCAAGTTATTTACAAATATTTCAGGATTGAAGATGTTCATGAATATGCAATCGTTTTGTACACCCAAGAATCTATAGCTCCCATGATGTAACCAGTATTAACAAACTAAACTGAGCCAAAAATGTTTCCCCAGAATATTTAGAAGAATGCAGAGCTCAAGAAAAATTTCCCAAATTATGCAATCACTTAAAATGTTTAGAATTCTACAATAATGATTGGGTGGCAAAGAATGGATCCCCCCACGCTAAAGAAAGGGTTATTGTGTTCAGAGCTGGGGGGGGGGGTCTGTTATCAATGTCCACAGATAAGGGCATCTTGAGCTAATGAGGGAGAGGAGATACAACCCAATGCTACAACAGCCTTAGTATACAGAGCACAGCAGTTACCTGCCATTCATTTACAGCAGCTTCCAAGGGCAGAGTAACCCAGTTAGCAGTGTGATGGGGAAAGGGCAATGTTAACATGCCCATGATAGTTTAAGAATTCCCAGCTGCCCTGAGAACTGACAGTGCCATCATGATGGACACTGAACGGCAGGTACAAAATCAGAAAAATCACATCAGCTTCAGATGTTTTCCTCTGTAACCTTAAGGATGATCAAGACTGCAGTATTCTAAAATAAAAGGCATGACAGCATAGCCCACCACAACTCATTCTAAGAAATGCTATCAGGTTCATAGTTTACTTTTTCCTGCAAAGTGCTCAACTAGAATATCCAAGCTAATGACACACATGGCCTAGAATTCAGCCTGTCTGCTATCCCAGAGCTAGATGCACCAGAAATCCTGCAGAACTCAATGAGATAACATGGAAATAGATAACTCACTAGTCTCTCTCATGTGTACCTTTATCCAAGCAAGTCTAGCCACACCCTCTGGGTTTGTAGACACCACCAAGAATGTACTACTACCAGACAGGCAGGTGCTCCCTGAGGTGCAGGCTGACCACCCGCCACCTACCCAGATTACAGATCACTTGTCTTTCATTCAAGGTAAATAGTGGAGAGGTCATTACTTTCTTTCCTGTATTTTAAGCAGCACTAGTATTTATACATTTTCCTATAAAGTCTCTTAATGAGCCAGGTGATGATAAAATTCACTAAGCAGAAGGCCAAGTCATTCCTTACAATACCCTGGAGCTAAATCTGCTATTTTTATCTGGACAGGTCCTATGTGTTGTCTTCTTCTTGCAGGAACTAAAGTCTTGATAATTTTCTTCTATTTCATGATCTCCTTTATCTTCCATCGTTGACACGGAGCTATACCCAGCACAGAGGCCTGAATTTGGCCTGTGGGAAAGGAGAAGCAAGTCCCTGCACTGGAGGCATACTTAAGCATAGCTGATAACCGCCCTGCTGGTGGGACTTGACTGGGAGGTAGGAGAGTAGAGAAGATCCTAACAGTATTCACGGGAGCCAAGCTCCATATTAGGCCATTACGTCTTCTCCCAGTTCACGGCCAGATTTGGTTGGAATTTGGAATTGAGGATAAGGTTAAAAGAGATCTGCTAAAGATTAAGTACTTTTGGTACAGGGACCTTGGAAATTTCTCTCTCTTTCTTCCTTTCTCTCTCTTGGGCGTGTCTCTGTGTGTCTGTGTATAAAAGCTCATTTCTCAAGTAAACAAAAGTGGATCTTTTCTTAGACCTAAAGCCAACCAAATCATCTAACATTGGCAAACAAATAAATACTTTCACACTGCATTTATCTGGCATCTGCAAGGTGACTGATCTACTGTTGAAAATGTTCTGAATAACTGAAGCTTACCACAAAGCAAAGCGTATTATTTCAACCCTTGTATTATTGGAAACATTTCTTTCATGTGTCAGTCTATGAAAGCAATCCAGTATGGAAGAACCTAGTCTCTGGAGTCTGCCCCATCCTAGTACTAGATAGATAGAGGCCATGAGCCTTGGGCAAGTGCCCTAGTCTGTCTTAGCCAGAGTGTCCTGTATATAAAGTGGGAGGAATCATAGCCCCTTAACAATAAATCTCTCATTTATCTCATACTTGTTAAATAACCAGCACTCTTTTATTTTTTTATTGTGAAAATACTGTACAGAGGGGTTATAATTACATGGGCAAGATAATGAGTACATTTCTTATCAAGCATTGTAGCCTCCTTTTTTGTTTCCCCATCCCTTCCCATCCTTCCCCCGCCCCCCCAATCCTCCCCACTCCCCCCACCCCACCAGAGTTGTAAAGTTCGTTTTCAACATAACAAGTTGTACATCTCATTGTTGCAATGGGTCCACCTGTATCCCTATTTAGACGATTTGTTTTTCCCATTCCCCTCCACAAATTATACCGACATCAAATACAGTGAAAGCAGGGGTTATACTGTGGGGGAGGGACATACAAAGCAACAAAGAAATGAATCTTATAAATGTGTTAGAAACAATCGCATGAAAGAAAAAAAAAACATTTGAATACATATCTTAGGGTTCATTTCCCTAATATCACCTTATCTGACCTTTTCTGCTTGACTCAGACATATACTAGATATTGCAAATAAGGGAAACCATGACACCTATGTTTCTTTGGGGCATAACCAGCACTCTTATGAGGCCCTTTCCTAGTTTGATTTTCATACCTCTGTGAGGTTGGTGTCAGTGGTTGTTGTTTTTTATTTTGTTTTTCCATTTCACAGATAAAGGGAATCTAGGTGAGGAAAAGTCTCAGCACTATGCAGTCTGACTCTGGATCTCTGCTCTCACCATTACCTTTAAATGCCTGATCTACAGCAGGTGCTCATCCCTGGGAGCAAATAGAGTAACAGACCCACAGTCCTACAGGAGCTCAGGCTGATGGATGGTAGGGTGCTAAGGCTGGCCTGACAAGCAGCTCCTCCCTTTAGGGTACAGTCAAAGCATTGGCTACTGCTTTTCCCTTTGAAATATCAAATCAAAGATGGCAACAGGAAAGTTAACTTGTTCTCTATCAGATTTTCATTAAAATTAAGAGAAAGCAAACTTAACATACATGAGTATGAGAACTCTTAACATCTAAGCGGTTTGCCTGAGAAACTGAAAGCATTAGTGATTTGTTGGAATCTTACTGCCTTTTGTCCTACTCCAACCTGTGGTTATCTTTTAAAACTTTTCTTCTTAATTTATAAAATGAGTATGAAAATCACAACCTTCCCTTTGAGCGCATGTTAATACACATAAGTATGAAAATCACAACCTTCCCTTTGCACGCATGTTAATATACATAAAGTACCTAGGCACTAAGTCCTATGCTGATATTCTCTGTCATCCTTCATAATTAACTCAGACATTTAGCTGGCAATAACATGTTAACATTGGACATTTCCTTACAACAGCTAGATAGTTATCTAAATCAGATCCTCAGGTTACAAGAACTGGTGTGGAGATTGGAACATTTTGTTTTCGGACATCAAAAAGAAATTCATTTTTTTTCATTCATGGCACAATAAAAGTCAATAAAGAAAAGGCTTCATGATAGTCAAAAGACCAATGAATCTCCTTTGGAGATAATCTCTATATAAATAAAATATGCCAGCAAGGTTGGTTTAAGCCCAAGAGCTTTAAGCTGTATGTTTAAAACCCCCTTTTAGGCTGGCACCCTGCTGAAACCAGTGACCTTCAAATTACTAAGATGTATTTTAACTGATGGAAAGGCATAAATCCTTTCTGGATTTCCAAGCTACTGGTTAGCAACAGCATTTTGGTTTTTCATGCTCTTATTAGAAAGTTAAGATTTTCTAATTCCCAGAGAAAAGCATTTGTAAGAATATTTGTGTTGGACAAGTTGCACATTTGGGAAGCTCTATAAAGAAATGATCTCAGGAACTAAGTTTTGATTTTAAAACGTTTATACATGTTTAATGTCAGAAACAATGATATTACAAGCAAATATGTCATCTCAAAGTTACATTTGCTTGTTATATAATTTTACCTTTATTAATAAATGCGATCGAAATACTATTCAGCTTTGTTGTTTCAAAAGAATATACGTATACTCACTGGTAGAGTACTAGCCTAATAGGCCATGGGTTTGATTCCCCAGAATGACAAAGAGAGAAAAAAAAAAGTGAGGAGGGAGGGCTGGGAAGGTAGCTCAATGGTAGAGTGCTTGTCTTGCATGCATGAGCCCCTGGGTTCATAAGCAGAAAAGCTGGAAGTGGCGCTGTGGCTCAAGAGGTAGAGCACTAGCCTTAAGCTGAAGATCTGAGGGACAGCGCCCAGGCCCAGAGTTCAGGCTCCATGATTGAAAAAAAAAAAAAAAAAAAAAGTGGGGAGAGAAGGATAGGGAAGAGAAGGGGGAAAGAGGGAAAGGAAGAAGAAAGGAAGGTAAGGGAGGGGGAAAAGAGAATATTCCTAGATCACGACATCTTAAATCCTATCTGTCCATGTTAAGAGTAATGTGGATTTAGCTGTAATCCCAGCACTTGGGAGGTTGACGCAGGAGGATCATGAGTTCCAGCTCAGCCTGGGCTACATAGGATGACCATGTCTCCAAAGAGAAGAGGGAGGAAAAAAGTAATAAGGATTTTAAAGACATAACTCTGATAGCTTGGTAGCTATACTAAACTACACCTGAGCCTCGCACAGTAACAATGGGAAATCAGTAACTGTGGAACATCTGATCTTAAAAACCTACTAGAGAAAAAAATAGAATGTGTGTTGAATTGAAACCTCTTTATACGACCACTTACACATTAAATATGTATATGTATATGTGTGTATATATATATATATAAGTTCCTTTCATTCAAAGTTCACAGTTTAACTTATTCCTTTTATAACCTGCTTTTCCATTCATCATCCCAGAGCAATCACTATAATTCAAAATCTTCCCAATGAGAGAATTAATGTCTCTCAGTGGATGAATGGATCAAGAAAATTTGGCATATATGCACGATGGAATTCTACTCATCCATCAGAAAGAATGATATTGTACCATTCATAAGGAAATGGAAAGACGTGGAAAAAATTACATTAAGCAAAGCAAGCCAGAACCAAAGAAACATAAGGCTGCATGGCTTTGGGATTTGTCTACGAATCTACAAGTGAACACACTGAATGGTTGAAATAAATGAATATATATTTAAAAAAAAGAGAATGTCACTTTTATGGTAACTGAACACTACGCTTGGGAACACGTTTTCACATTGGATTCTCTTTTTTTGGGCCACTCCTGGGGCTTGAACTCAGGGCCTGGGCACTGACCCTAAGCTTCTTTTGCTCAAGGCTAGCACTCTACCACTTGTGCCACAGTGCCATGTCCAGTTTTTACTGCTAATGTGGTACTAAGGAGTCGAAGCCAGGGCTTCATGCATGCTAGGCAAGTACTCTACCACTGAGCCACCTTCTCAGCCCCACATTGGATACTCCTATGTTATGAGTTCATTCTTATGTCCCTAATCCTAGCTGTGATCATTTTGGTTCCCAGCATTGCCAGATTTTTACCTTAAGATAAATGAGACAAGTTTTTTTTTTTAAAAAAAAAAATCTTTCTTAAAATGCTGTCTTTACAGGGCCAGGAGAGATAGCTCGTGTAATCACAGCTTACGCAAAAAGTTAGGGAGACCCCCCCCCCACACTGGGTATGGTGACCAAGGCTGACATCCCACCAAGGGGGATAGAGGAGGACTATATGAGGTCACCTGTGCAAACACATGAGACCTTATCGGAAAAATAGCAAAAGCCAAAAGAATGTAGGGGTGTGGTTCAGGTGGTAGAGTACCTGCATGGCAAGCATGTACCCTGAGTTCAAATTCCAGTACCACAGAAAAAACTGTCTTTGCTATATATATTAAGATCACATTAAGGATCCTGTAAACCCACACTGCAGTTGGAATTAGTATGAGATAGCTTAAAGAGCTTCACAAATGTCTATAAACGAGTCTTCAGGAGATCGAAGATAAGCTTTGGATAGTTATTGATTAAATGAGTATCACTACCTAAGGAAATTTAACTAAAGCTTTCCTTTGTTATTTGCCCTTACACCACGTAAGCCATTCAGTCTTACAGATGTATTACAACTCATCAAGAATGCACATCCCACCTGTAACACAACTTCTGGATTCCACTCAGGCTTTGGGATTTAAAAGTCAGACTGGTACGGTGGTAGTCGCCTGAAGCCTAGCACTTGGTAGGTACCAGGTTCTGGTGAATTAAAGTTTTAACCTCCCCCCACAACCCCCCAAAGGGAAAGCAGTGTGAGGCGAGCCCCACTTGGTGAATGTGGATCTGTGTTAGGGAGAATGTGACTCTGAGACCAGGAAAATGCTTTCCCTCTATAGAAGCTGAGATTGCCAATGTTATGACTTGAAAAGACAGATCCCAGCAGCTTACACCTCTGTCTTCACTTAGGGTTTCCAAAACACTTCTCCATGTCACCTCAGATGACCTTTTTTTTTTTTTTTTTTTGTCGGTCGTGGGGCTTGAACTCTGGGCCTGGGCGCTGTCCCTCAGCTCTTCAGCTCAAGGCGAGTGCTCTACCACTTGAGCTACAGCACCACTTCCGGTTTTCTGGTGGTTTATTGGAGATAGGAGTCTCATGGTCTCTCCTGTCCGGGCTGGCTTTGAACCGCGATCCTCAGATCTCAGCCTCCTGAGTAGCTAGGATTACAGGCATGAGCCACCAGCGCCCGGCACCTCAGATGACCTTTACAATTGGCTCAAGTGTCAAGAAGACATGCAAAAAACTAAGGCTTTAGCTGGGTGCCGGTGGCTCACACATGAAATCCTGGCTACTCAGGAGGCTAAGATCTGAGAATCATTGTTTAAAACCAACTTGGGCAGGGAAGTCCATGAGACTCTTTATTGCTAATGAACCCATAGAGAACTGGAAGTATGGCTTAAAGTGGTAGAGTTCTAGTCTTGAGCACAGGGACAGTGCCCAGGCCCCGAGTTCAAATCCCACAACTGACAAAAATAAAACAAAGGCTTAGGGAAGCCAATTCAGTGACCCCTCCACCACCCCCCGCCAAAAAAAAAAAAAAAAAAACATGGTGCAGCTTGGGGGGAAAACCTAGGTTTTCTGGTTTCTAATCTAGTAGGTGAAGGAAAATAAAAACCGAAAAATAGCTCAAGCATTTCAGCGCTTATCTTTTTAAAAATGAATTTGAACTGAACAGCCACAGCAACTGTGTTAGATGAGTAGGGTGAGGAGAGACAGACTCCCAGGAATTTCTCAGTGATCAACACATATTCTGGATGCTGCTAGAGGAAAGAGAGTATACTGGTGCTACTGATCAAGTCTGGTAGATTCAGCGAAACAACCTGTCCCGTGGTGATCAAGCTCGATGATTCCTGTCGGCTGTTTCTCCTCTCACAAGAAGCATTCAATCTGCTTCCACCAAGGATAAAAGTCAGTGGAGAGAGAACACATGGCAACACAAACCTAGCCCCATCTGTATGACAGTCTTCCGCAGGCAGTACGGAACGATCCCACAGGAATGAAGGAAACTCTTCTGCTGCCTTTGTTGATTCTGTGAAGTTTTAGGAAAGTTGACTAGAATGGATGGAACAACAGCCAATTCCAGCAATACCTAGTGATTCACCTCATGGACCTTAAAGTGACAAATCCCTAGCCATAGCCATACCTAGTAACACTGCCAACACCAAGAAGCAGTCCTTTTTTGCTACCCCAAAAGTAACCTTACCTCTGAGCTTGACATGAAGCCTTTTAAGAACTTTAAGGAAGTTTTGCTGACAGCCATTCAAGTATGCATCCATTCATCAAAGAGTTAAAGAATGCCTACTAAGTGTCTGGTGTTATTCCATGATTAGGAACACGTCTGCTTGCCCTTATGAAGCTGTCATTCTAGTGGGAAGTGACAATAAGCAAGTAAAATCCATTTGATGGGAAGAACATGTAAGGAGAATGAGGCAGACAAATGGGGTGAGGAGGTATGAGTGTGGAGGTGTTGGCACTTTATAAAACAAGTCATACCTCGATATACAAAAGAATGATGAATGTCCAGATGGTAAATATCTCAATGTATGTATTTAGAAGCTAGGAAGGAAACACAGCAGTACAGAGGGCAAATGTGATCAAAAGGAATACTATACTATGGAGGGTGACATCTTCATATCCCACATCGTACCTGCTAACTACTAACTCACTGCTGCCTTTCTAAATATCTATGGCATTTGCTAAGGTTCCTTACAGTGTACTCTACCAATTCCTAACACTGGGTGTCTTGCTGTTTTGTCTGAGGACAAATGAAATACAGCCTAAAGCAGTAACATATCCATCCCCAGTCTTGCACACAAACATCATAGTCAAACATTCTTAATGAAGACCAATCACCATCCAAATGAGGAATCTCAGGAGAAAACTTACCTTTAGAAACATATCCCAAGTTGTGATGAACACATTAGCACACAATGGTTTGTGACAATGCAATACAGTTCAAGCGGATGATACACTCTTTGTATGTTTTCCCGTTTTTCTGTTACTTCCCTTCCATGAGATTCTATGCTATATTAACCCAGTTCATCGCATTACTTTGAAGAGATGCACAGAAGCAAAGATTTTACCTAAGTGCTCTTAGTCTAGGATCTCCTCGGCTGAGGAATCATCAAAAAAAAAACTTTTGTACAAATAATATTTTGTCATAGTTATCACATAAAACCAAACAGAAGAGAAAAGAACCCCCTGCCTCTTACTTACCTGGAATAGGAATGATAGGAATACTTTCATTGGGGACCACGCGAGGTGAACTGCTATCTTCCACGTAGAAATGGGCAGTCTGAAAACATTTTCTGTGTGGGAAACCAAACATGCCAACAGTGAGACCAGAGAAATTCTGAGTTCAATCATTTTTCAATTCTCTTTCCACCAGGTTCCCCAGCTTTACAAACCACAGAGCACTGAGCCAGAGCCATGGAAGCAGACGACAGGGGGACAGCAATGCACCTGCGCAGGGAATACCCATCTCCTAGCACTGACCCCTCAAGTAAGTGCGAACTCACCGCAGACAGAGCAAACAGTTCTGTAAGCCACAGCATCCCCCTCCCTGCCACCACACACACAATATTTCTACTTCTGACAGGTCACAAAGAAATCCCCTCCTCTCCTGTACCCTAGCACTGAGTTCAGAACTATACCTTGAACCCCTCAAATGGAGTCATCAAGCAGCCAACAGCCCAACTACACAACAGTTATCACATTGTCTGTGTTTAGCCAAGGTACCTGAAGCCTCAGACTGCTGTCTCCATAAGGGGGGTTGGGGGCGGCCAGGGAACTTGCAGGGGGCAAGTATGCCCCCCCCCTAGTCAGAGAAGAGCTACACCAAGAAACAGGAGACCCTAAGTGTCATCTGCTTGTTTTGGGCTTGGTTTGGGTTTTACCTGTACTTCAAGCAAAGCAGGGAGCACACACTGGTCATCATAGGAAACGCAGTGGACAAAAAAGCCATCGGCAGCTCACTCAGCCTCTGCCCGCTGAAGCTGGCCGGCCCTCAGCTTTCCTGCCTCCACGTCACTGCTCATTGCAGCCCTAATGAGCTGCCGGAAGCACAGGCTGAATATTTAATGAGACCGCTCAGCGTGAATGGCTATTGTGACCAGAGAAGGGTCCCTGTTCATGTGGCAGAGGGGCCTTACAATAGCTGGCCCTACTGCTGGGTCTTTTAGCCAAGCAGACAGCATCCTTCTGGTGTTCTGTGCCACTGGGCTGTCCCCACTCCTCTACCATCTCTCTCACTAACAACATGGACACACAATGCAGCCTGTAATTCCAGCTCCTGTGTTGCTTATTGAGTCCAAAGTGGCCTGGGATCTTTCTAGGAAGCTCCCCACCTCCAAAAATAAAAAGGAATTAGAGGGTTAGAAGAAAAATCAAGCTTCCTCTATCTAAACCAAAGATATCACCGGGGGGGGGGGGGGGGGGGAGAGGAATGGGGAGACAGCAGTCATTCGGTTTTCTGTCATCGCTTTCTACAGCGCAGCCATTACCAAATGCCGTGGCAAAGGTCACAGGCCACAGGAGCAGGTGCTTTTCTTCAGCCAGAGCCAGTTGTCACACGGAGAGCAGGACCCTCTGGCATTTGTGGGCATGGCTCTTGAATCAACCTGGATTGGTCCTCTATACCAATATGGGGAACTGAACATACTCAACTCCAATGCTTGGCATGTTTCTCACAGCACGCACACAAAGTTTCGTTGCTATGAATTACCTGACAATTGTAATATAAGTAATAAAAGGAAGTTCATGACTTTCATAGATGCTTTTACCTATGTTGGGGGTAGTTACTTAGACTCAGTTACTGAGACTCAACTTCCATGGATGTGAAATGCATATAAAATGATGGAGCTCTGGGTCTCACCACAGCTACTGAGTGTGCAAAGATAGAAAAATCCAGGTGAAAACATGGGATTTTTATATTTGAAGTAACAGCTCGATTTCTAAACTAGAACTTTCGTCCACTTTAACAAATGGAAAAAAAAACAAACAAAATTAACTTCTGGGCCAAGCAGGGCAGTATACATCTATAATTTGAACACTACAAAGGTTGAGGCAGGAAGATCAGAGTTTAACAGCCAGGGCTACACTGCATGAAGAAAAAGAAAAGGAACTTTATTTCAAGATTTGAATTCCTAAGTCTATTACTAAGTTTAGACACATAAAACGATTAGTCAAAGCTATTAGTACTAGCCAAGTGTTAAAGTCTTGGACTTGAGAAGAAAAAACTGTCATGTTGATTTTTTTTTTTTCTAGAGGGTAGACAGTTTAGCCAGTCTCTCAGCTACGTACGGCACTAAAGGCTCCACATTATCTTTGGAGGAAAAAAAAAAAAAAGCAGTGTGTACTGAAGCAAATCACACTGCAGAGCCCCATGTGCTGCTGTTTATAATGGATTTTCCCTGGAGCAAAATAACTCTGTGATTGCCAGAGAAAAGCACACAACTGGGAATGAGGGTCAGAAGCTGGGAGACAGAGCCCGGAACATCTGCACCGTGCTGCACAAAGACCTGGGTTGGCAACTAGCTGCAGAGATTGAGGCCGGGGGTGTCTTTCCTTCGTATGCCTTTCTTGTGTATTATTATTTCCTTCGAATGAAGGTTTGAGAGCAGTCAGCAAATGTTTATTCAGCACCCACTCCGTGGCACTGTGTGCACAGATGAACGCATTCTGGATAACTGTCCACAGTCCTCACAAATCACTTCTGTAAGCCTGGCTAAATGCTGGAGTGACTGAAGAGAATTATGTAAGGAACCGAGGATCTGTACAGAGAAGTTAGGAAATGATTGGGGGAGGGGTGGATCAATTACAATCACTCAGTTCTCCTCTTTGTGATAGTCTGTATTAAGTATTTTGGGGCAAAATCTTTTTACTCACTTTTCCCCATGGGCTATTTCTTAGTCATCTTCAGTGAAATTGGGAGAAGGATAATTAAGGCAGCCAAGACCTTGCCCTCATGACATAAACGTTTTCATAGGAAATCCAACTACAAAGTTTCAAATAGCAGTTATGGAGAACACATAAATGATGTGGTGACAAACGGTGCGGGTAAAGGGCTCCCAATAAAGGAGGATGAGTGTGATAAGCTACAGAGAGGTGGATCTAGTAGCTAGAGGAAGTGCGTCAGGGTGACTCTGGCGGTTGATAGAAAGGAAGGCAGTGGCAAGAACCGAGAAAGGCTGCCGCAGGAAGGGCTGGGAAGGAGGGTCAAAGGCCCATCGCCCAAGAGCCAGGAGGCCTTCGAAGGTTTTCCCTGGTACCTAAGAGCAAGGGACAGTGTGGGGCGGGGGCGGGAGGGGGAGAGTTCCAGTCCATGTACTGACATGGATTCATTTCTTTCAAGAAATTCCTTTGGGCTGCTATGTGAGGAATGGGAGTATTGGCGAACAGGAAGAATTGAACACAGGGATTGACAAAGCCAACTTGGGATCTCAGGCAATTGTAAGCAAATGCCCATTTTTGATTTTTTTAAAAGCAAAATAGGAACATTTTATTTGCAAAGGAACCTCTCTAAATAATACTAGAAAAAAAATCATTGTAACTGATTTGCATTTTGCACATTTCAATAATCAGATTAACTTCTAACATTTGATAACATTTGGACTTTTTAAATGACATTTTTCCTTTTTCCACTAAATATTTGAGTGGACAAAATTTATACTCACTGTTAAATTATGATCATCTCATTCGCCAATACAGAAAAAAGTTCCAATGACGAATAGTCCTTTTGATATCTTTTTGTTATTATAAATGTGATGTACAGAAGGGTGCATCATATCCCTCATTTTGTCATAATTAGAATGTGCCTATAAATCTACAAGTAAACACACTGGATGGTAAAAGACAAAAAAACCCCACTTGGACACGATAAATTATACAGGTCTCTAGATGTTCAAACAGTGAGATGAAAGGAGGATATTCTTCAGAGAGGATCACAAAGTTTCAATTGCTATGTGCATATGATCATATAAAATGATATCTATGTAAATGAACTCCAAGACATGAATACAGGAGCCTCCCTCCATCTTGTAACTGTTTTTTTCTTTTCTGCATCTTTTGTCCTGTTATAAGTTTATCTGTTTTGGGGAGGGTAAGAGAGAAACACAGAAATGACAAGACAAAGTGTAAACAAATGCAGCAGTGGTACGCATTGGCCACTGTTGAAAATGAACTTGTGGGGGCGGGTCAGGAGGGGAAAACTGGGAGAAAGCAAGGGAAGGGGTGACACTGTTCATTTTCTATTGTTTTAGTAACAAAGGGTAATCATACTATACGGTATCTCCCTGATAACAAACAAGCTGACATCCTTATTACAAATACCTTCTTGGTCTTCCATTTCATTGAGGTATTAAGCAGTATTTAAACTACTAATTTCTTAGGGATCTACCTTGGGTTTCTTCAAAGGGCCATTCGGCTAATTTTAAACTTTTAACTATCATCCCACACTGTGAGGAAGGCTCGCATGTACAAATTCTACGCTGCAGCTTTATATTCTAGAAAAGCAGCTGCTATCATATGGCACTATATTTTTATTTGCTGACTTCCTAGAAATCCATGAAAAAAAATTTGTTTCTTGACCTTCAGCCATGTATCAGAAAAAAAAAAAAAAAGACAAAGGCAGGGACTTGGAGGAAAAGCAAACCCTGCACCTGCCCCCCCCCTGGGGGGGCATTTTAATACATCTAAACTTGTAACCTGTGATTTGTTCAAAGAGGCAGGATTGTCTCAAATTTTGAGCTCAGGGGAATGCAAATAGAATTTCTTAGAAAGCTGATGTGCGTCACTGAGTAAACCATTTCAGTTTTCTATCTAGGTCCACTGCTATTTCACCTAACTTACCTTAAAAGTCTCTTCTTGAATGAAACAGAGTATCTGGAACATCAATGGCCACTGTTGTGGCTCTACAAAACACATGCTTATGGAAGTACCATAAAGAGGAGAAATGAGGAAGTAGTATTTAAAAATTGAATTAAAAAAAATTCAAGTCTGACAACAATTTTTAGTGAGTCTCCACCATACATTTTATTCTTCCATTTCTCCATGCTCCAGGATGCTCTCTGATCCCTTTGAGAAACAGAAGACAAGTAGCATATTCTTATTGATCCTGGTTGGCCTATTGATAATCCAAGTTTCTTGTCATGTACTTCCCCTAATCTACATTTGAGGTATATCTATATATGACATTCGAAGCATCCCTATTTTAGTATACTGTTGAATTTTGCAGCGTTATAAAGAATAAATCTCTCATCAGAGTTTGAGTCAAACAGTGGGTATAAGCCAATACTGTGCATTATCTCTT